ACTACTCCTTTTCCCAGCACGGCCTATTCTCAAGCTGGCGCTGTTTAGATGTGATCGTGGTGCTGAAAGTGGGGGCAGAGTTAGAGAAGCTGCACCGTGCAGAGAAATGGATATTTTACTGGCCAGGTATATCTTAAAACAATCAGAGGCTTGATGAATTGGCTGAATGGCTGATGTATGGCTGGAATGGAAGGGGTATTTGGAGAAGGTTTGAGTCAGGGAAATGCACCTCATCAATCAGCATGATTAAAGGTTTTGGCTGGGCCGAAACAAACTCAACACTGCGAGGGCCTGGCCTTAAAGGCACAGTCCGCTGTTTGGAAATACAAAAAACAAGCCATGCAAAGGTATTGGTTTCAAGTATTGACAAATGCACTCAACTTCTGTAGTTTTGTGTGTGTCAGAAGACCACTATGGTGCTTGTTGGAGCAGTTAGACCTATTTAAGTTGGATTTACAAGATATTAAACTGTCAACAGCTCAGTTCCTTCATAATTGCTCAACAATCACTACTTTTTCCATATTCAATGGGGAAAGAGTTGAAGATAGCAAGGTGTTTACATGCGTGTCAACCTTTACATGGACATATGATGACACTACCTTCTAGTGCCCCTCACAATAGCATCATTTATCACTTGTCTGAATATATTTCAATACTGTATATAGAGGATAGAGTACTTAGTTTCTTAAGTAGTTCAAGTGTTAAGTAAAATAAAACTAACCTTCCAGCAGATTGTCCCCTTATAAACCAAGGACGAGTGAGATGACAAAGACAATAAATACTTGTACCCTCAATAATGGCACTTGACATGACAGCACTATACTATGTGTTCCATTAACACCTCATCTGCACACAGGAGAAACTCCTAATTCATTAAACACACATGGTCATACACTTCCACGGACACACACACAGATAGTAGCATACTATATACGTGCCCCATGGCAAAATCCATTTTAGCCAAGGCCTTTAAACAATAAATACAGCTTCGTGTCAGCAGCCCTGCATATTTAAAGCCACTAATGGCTTCCTGCAAAGCACTGGCTCTCGCAGACACACAAACACATGCTAAGCCGAGGAGAAAAATCACTGTTGCGAGAGTAGGGAGTTCTGTCAGCAGCGCAGCATCTCCAAGCCAACAGGTGCTGCAATGGCTGGCTGGGTAAGGACAACTGCACACTTTAGCCAACGGAGAGCTAACTGGCCGGCTGGAGAACATAATTATTAGTCTGGGAGACAGTTGGAAGTCATTAATAAAGGAAGGTGTTAACAGACTCCACACTGCTTTCTAGGCTAGGATTTGAAACCTCTTTTGGAAATGTTTAATATCTTGTGGTTCCTTGGGGATAGGATTTTAATTCATTTATTAAGTCTCATGCATGGTTAGCCCCGGTCTTCGCCTGCCTAAGAGTGTTTTCACATGTGGACCAATTGGAGAGGTTCTCCAGACATAAGGTCATTTTGCAAAAGAATTGTGTAAGTTTGGTTTTTGAGTGTGAAAACAAATTGTGGGTCCAGTAAACCAGTTTTGGGTCCATTACAACAGCGATTCTCAACCTGAGTTTCAGGGATTCACCATGACACATGAACATTACATTATCAGGTATAATACCTGTCATCACACCTTTCATCAGGTAACTAAATGAGCACGAATGTGTGCACAGAGACCACTGCACTAAACATTTATCCAGTGAAAGCCTGTGTTGTTATGAACCTTTATAAAAGGACATGGACCTTGATTGAAGGTGGTTCTGGACTGTCGTATCGGGACCAAAGCAGCAGCATTAAAATGCTGAGAACTGCACTGTATTATATTGTCTATGTTTGCAGAACTTCCACGTTCACCAAGGTGAAAAGGGTAACAGTCATTAATGAGTGTTGGTTACACAACCAGTTCACAGGTTGGAGATTTTATTGCATGTGAAAATTCCTCCTCAGAAGAGATCTAAAAGAAGGAGACCCTCGATATAGACTTCTGTAACTGGACCAAGAGGAAAAATGAAAATTGTAGCTCTAAATTGTTCCAGCACAATTTCAAAACGTTGGAGCATCAATGGCAATCCAGCAAAATAAATTTTGGGACAAGGTTAGAGAATAAATGAAACATGTATTTTTTATTTTCTACTTGACTTAATATTAGATAAATTGACCTGTTAGGATGGGTATTTGCAGCAGTGAGGCTACTTACTGAACCCACTTACATGCCCACTAAAAACTGGATGACTGACTGGAAAGCCCAGCGGTTATGAGCCTTACACCTACTGTAGCTGAGTGCACACTCTCCCTGTCACTCACACCACCCACACATGCACCATCACATGTTTGGCGAGGTAAAGCCGTATGCTTTTGTCCATTGCCAGGGGGGTAAACACAAACACATAGAGTCTAATCTGAGAGCAAACAGCGGCGCCTCATGTTAACCAGCAGGGATACAGTTTCCCTCAACACCACGAGGCTCGCAGCACTCAAGAGCTCACACATCAGAGAGAGAGAGAGAGATAATAATTTGAATAGATAATGTCAATTAGCCCAGTATTTAACCAAAATAAAACATTCCAGAAAAAGACAAACCCTTAGTGACCTTAAACTCATTCAAAAAAAGAATGGCCAGAAAGAACACAAAATTTGAAACCAAAATTCATTGTCCGAAGTACAAAGAAATTAGAGAAAACTTACCCTCTCAAAAGACTAAAAAATCATTCCATTTACAATGATAAAAGACAGAAAAAGAGCAGTCACACATGTTACAAGCTGGAACCAGCAAATGTGTGGCATGTTTGGGTAATTAATGTCAATTAATTGCTGATTAATTTTCTGTCAAACAGGTAAACCATGACAACATCACTGTGTAATGATTCTTGCCATTATCTTGTAGCTACAGAGGAGGTCAAGTTGTTGAGATGCAACAACATCACAACAGGAGGGTCCAGCATTGGAATCTCATGCAGATTCTGAACTTTGGACTTTGGAGATTCCCATAGTTGTTAACCTACAAGTATTTTTTTTTGTATACGCCATGTGCATGACGTACTCTTCCTGCACAATGGGGTAGTCTCCTGCCCTGAACCTGAAAAGGAATAATTGGGTATTGAAAAGGAATGAATGATTGGTAACTGGAGATGATGGATTACTTGTTTAATATCCACTTTTGTGGTTTTGGCAGGGCTCGAAGGTTGCAGAGGGGGGACTGTCCATCCAGTCACCGGCTGACTGACAGATATATCTCCAAGAGACGTGAACCATGATTGCTCTGCTGGTATGTACGGCTGGAAAATTTCTGCTCAGTTTAAGTTTGAAACAACCATCACCTGATTTCCAGCTGTCAGGAACCTTAATATCAGAGTGTTTCATCAGATTATATGCAAGGAAACATGAGGTTTTGCATTGACGCTAATTATTTGCAATTCCAACAAATAAATACAAGTCATGTAGAAGACATCAGGGCCTGAGAACAAAGAGACAATGTAGACCACCAGCAGAGAACATTAATGTTGTGTTTCACATTCTGTATCAACTTAAAATAATTCCCTTTAAGCCTCATGCCTCACATACACACACACACACACACAAATATGTGCACACACACGCCTGCAGACAAACGGCATTTTAGTTGAGTGAAAGGCGGATATTGCCCTATATCTTTATTCTGGTACTGTTTAATAAGAAAGGGAGAAAACCCCCAGCAACCAAAACATGGGAATGGAATCGGTTCCTTCCATCCAAACAAATGACAGTGTAATCTCATTTAGGGCCGAGGCAGCGAAGCTCGGTTTCCGCCATGTGTCACAATATATAGCTGCCCTCTGGGTAAGGCAGTGACATCCATACGCAGGAGAAAGGGAATTAAGAATTAGACTGATGAGAAGAGATAAGATAGAGTGAGGAAGAAAACAGAGGTGGGAATGAAAAAAAGGGATTAAAGATCAGAGATGATATTGCAATGACGGATGAAAGGCTACTAAATATAAGAAAGGATATGGGGAGGGTAAAAGCATAAAAGCATGGTAAGGGGGCCAAAACCAAGAGCTATGCAATAGATTTTTTATCACATACATGTGTCAGTAATGGTAAATGTACTTGTATAGCACCTTTCCAGTCTTCCGACCCCTCAAAGCGCTTTTACACTTCATGCTACATTCACCCAGCGATGGCAAAGCCCATCGAACAGAAACTAACCCATTCATTCACACACCGATGCACAGCAGGAGCAGGGGATTGAACCAACAACCTTCCAATTAGAGGACGACCCACTCTTCCTCTGAGCCACAGCCGCCCAAGTCCAAGAACATGTTATATCCCAACATTCTGATGTTGAATAGACTAGCTATGGATAAAAAGTATATCAATCACAAGCATCAAAAGCTTGTTTTGAGGATACAATGGGTTGCTAGCATTACACCAAAAATATCTCAAATGACCCCAACCAACAAACCCCAACAAAGTCCAAGAGTCTACTGTTCCTTTGACCTTCCCAGTATTACTCAATGACAAACAGATCACAACCAAGATCCAGCCTTTGGATATAAATGTCTGAATTGCAATTAACAAAGCAGTGAGAGCAATAACAATTACCAATTAAACCAAAGGAACTTGGGAGCTCAGATTCCTACTTAAAAACCAGCAGCAGCATATAGGCTCACCGAGAACAGAGGGAAGGAACGAGAGGGAGGAAAACAGCAAGAAGGACAAAAAGAAGAAGTAAAATCAGATGGGAAGTAATTGAAAAACTATGTGACCAGCAGCAACACATAGCAACACGAGATTACTTACACTGAATTATTCTATTCCTAGCTTTAAACTTTGTGCTAAGCTAAAGTCATTGAAAAATGCCAGCAGCAGATGGAATCAACAAAAGAGTAAAAAGTTTAGAAGCTTTAGACGTCATAGCAAGCTTATGCTAAGCTAATGGAATCCCCAATAAAATAAGTCAGAATAAAGAAAGAATGGACAGAACATGACAGCAATGGTTGTGTATCACACTGTATCAGCAGGATCCTTACCTAGGACGCCCAGCCGGTAGTTGACAGTTATGACAATCACATTCCCATAGCTGGCCAGGATGCTGCCATCAAACATATTCCCAGTTCCTTCCATGTAGGAGCCCCCGTGGATGAAAACCATGACCGGTTTGGGGCTTCCACTCTCCCTAATGTCTGGAGGAGAGGGAGGAAGAAGAGGAGGAGGTGGAGAAGGCAGAAGGACTGATTAGATGACAGATTGAAGGTGACAGTCAGAGATGCAATTTCAATACTTTAGGGGGCTTTTGGCCACCTCTTTAATTTGATTTTTTTTGTAATCTTGGCACACTCGCTTTTTAACATGGAGACCTTGTTAGTTTGAGGCGTCAAACCATTAATTTCTCTACATGAAGGCCGTGTTTGTGGTGATTGGAAAAACGCTGCTTTATTTATTTATTAACCTATTTTAAATTCCATATAGGTGTTAATGAAACGGGATATTTAACACAGCAGGTTTTTAATTTTCCTCCAGGGCAGTGGACTGTCAACATGCAAGAGTGGCAATCTAAACTGTCATGTTGAGGTAAAACTTGTGCAATTAATCTGGAAGAAAACCTAATAAAAAATGGCACGTAAGGTTGCACAATCTTATGAAAAAGCGCTGCTTTATTGAAAGTTTAGTAGGAATTCAGGTTAGCGCTTCATAGTTGTTTAGCTGTAGTTTAATGTTTCCCTTGGTTTTGTGAATATAAATGCATGTGAACACTTACTGACAGCAGGGGAAATTAAAATGAAAAAAAATGAAAGACACAAGAATTTATAATTTAGAGGGTTTTGTGTGAAGAAGGATGTTGATTCAGGTTTTAAATTACATTACACTCATTTGCATAATTATAGAGTAATAACACAGTTTAAACTATGCTGTAAATGACTTGTCTTACTGAAATTATGTACACTGCAACAAAGCAGGAAGTGTGCTTCTTTTAAGTAAGGAGTATTTCTTTGTATGTGCAGTTGCATCTGTTAATATGAAGTCAAGGTATAAGGAGAATGGTGAGCCAGCTGAGAGCAGCACAATTAGCCGTATTAAAATGCGTTACATCTGGCTGATTAGAGCAGAAGAAAGGAGGGCTGCATTGTAAAGCTTTAGCCCTTGACGTGGTTCTAATATGGGCTGGGCTGTGAGCAAATAATAAAAAATAAAATAAAAAAAAAGGATGAGAAGACTTGGAGAGATCTAACAACATGCTGCAACCCACGTTCAAAACAAGGTTTCACTTTCATCTTCTGTATCCCAGAGATGAGGCTTTTCATCTCGCTTCCTAACTATCTCCATCAGTACATTCAGCGGCACACATCGTTTATCCCACTGATGTTTTACCACTGAGGAACTCCGGGGTCCAGAGAGAGATCAGTGTGTCTATGCGGAATTAAAAATTAACCAAGCAAGAAAATAGAAAGACGTTACCTCCGAGACACGGAGAACAAGAAGCTCTTCAACCGGGAGGGGAGAGGGATAGTGTCTGAAAGTTTTCCCACAGTGCGTTTAAAATACCCATGATCCAGGGGGTAGACAAAATAAGGTAAACACCTCAGGGAAAAACATGATGGAGGCAGTATGAAGGTGGCTCAATTATGCGTTTAAACTGTGCAAAGTGCCCCTTAAAGTACTCCACTGTAAATAATGTACATCAGTATGATTATTATGATAAGACTTTGACCTATTTCATTTAAGTGTTGTATTGGGATAATGCATTTTGGTTGGTTTGCCTTCCATTTTACCTTCCTTATGTGAAGGCGAAAGATTATTGAGGGAACAGGACATTATGCAGCAGAAACTGGAAAGAGGAACTAAATATAACAGTGTGTCTGCATATTGGGAAACTGCAGAAATTGTTTTCTTCCCGACAGAGGACATAAAATAGACACAGTCTCAGAAAAAACTCAATTGGCAAAATGACATGGGGTAAGAGAAAACAAAAATCTAGCAGGAAATTAACATGAGGCGCATCTAGGTGCTCGCTTCTCCTTGTGTGCACGCTCTGTTTGTCCTTTCCTCTGTTTCTCCCAGTGCAGAGCTCATTACATCACTTCTATCATTCTCTGTCCTTTGTAGTGTTTTTTTTCCTCCTCGTTCTGCTCCCTCTGTCGCAGCAGGCAGTGGCCACGATATAGCGGCACATCATAACTCTCCTCTGGAAGGCTTCCAGAAACTTCTGACAAAAAAGGTCAGGGGATTATGGCAAGTGTGTGTGTGTGTGTGTGTGCGTGATGGCACAGATATGTGTGTAGCCTGACAAAAGGAGAGTAGGGGAGATAAGGGGCAAAAATTATAACAATGAACAATGCCGGTAATGGTCATGACTGTTATAGCTCTGTTTGAGATGGTGACAATGTGATGATGCTGATGACTGTTGTCGTGGTGGAACTGACAACCTTAATGATGATGGTGATAATAGCATTGACATGATGACAACAGTGGTGGTGGTGATGATATTGATTAAAAAATAATTTAGTGATCACAGTGTTGATGACGATTCCGTGCGGTCACTATCACCTTCATGGCAACATGATGATGGTATTGATAACCATGGCAACTGTGATTGGGATGATGGTGACAACCATGTAAATGACGATAATATAGATATTAATGATGGTCATAGCTGTGACGTTTATTGTAATAAGAATTATTATAACATCTTGACTTAGTTTTTTGTTTATGATGCTCATGGCAACATGATGCTGTAGCTAATGTCAATGATAATTCTGTTGGCAGCCTCAATGATGACGATGACTAATGTGTCAGTGAAGATAATGTAGATATTAATGATGGTGTCAGCCATGATGGTATTGATGATGATAACAATTACAAACATGACACTGATTATGTTAATGATAAGGCGTGTGGCAACATGGTGCTAATGATGACGTCAGTGATAGCTGTGGCACTGGTGAAGACAACAATGTCGATGATAATAATGATAAAGATGGTAACAATGATAATGGCAATGCTGAAAATGTTGAAAATAATGATAAAAAACAATATTGATGGCAGCAGATAACCATGATAGTGATGATGCTGAAACTGATGATGATGATGATGATGGTAAGGATGATAATGATGATATCACAACCATAACAATTATTTGAATTGCTATTGCTAAGTTATGATGATCATGGCAAACATGACTGATTAAAATGTTGATGACTTTGATGACCATTATCATTGCACGATGATGATGATTACAATGAGCACTCATACTAGGTAGATCATTCATAGATTTTTATTTGTAGATTATAAAATGATACTGGGTTTTGACCCAGTCCTCTTATATTAATGGTGTATTTTTCTTTAAAGCAAACAATATGGAGTATATGATATGACAGGATGTGAATATGTGCTCCCCAGCAGTACATGAATATATTAATTTCTGCTGCAGCAAGATACATCCAGCGTGGCTGCTTTTGCTGCCTCTTTTTGTTTAACGCTGAAGGTCAGCAGTAATGAGGTGAGGTGAGGACAAAATTGTCTTGGCAATGTTTGAGCATTTGATGGATTTACCTGAATTTACCTGGATTTACTGGCTGAAACAAGTCCCGGTGTATATTGAACACGCTGTACCTTGAGCTTTTAAGTTTATGCAATCCAGCTCACTTTCAGTATGGTTTCCTGGCATCCTTCATTGGCTGCCACTGCAGGACCCAGAGCCAAAAAAAATCCTCTAAGCCCCAGCCTCCATTCCCCTAACTTATCAATTAATCCTCATTCGGCTGATTGCAAATGTCGCCTCTTTCCATCATCCTCTTGCGTGAAGTGAGGTAGTGATGTATTTGGGGTGATTACAGGAACATCCAGTATTTACATAAACCCCTCTGTTTAAAGTAACTGTAAATGATTAGCAATTTTTAATGAAGGTGTTTGGAAACCTGCGGGAAACTGTCTTCCAGGGCTTTTTTCACAGCAAGCTGCAAGATTAAAGCTTGCTTTGAGAAGACCTGAAATGAGATGCAATTTTGTAGTGATTCGACCATTCAATCTTGAGTGCCAGCAAGGGAGAGTTTGTCAGAGGACAGGTGCCATGCCAACATGGAGTAGATCATTGCTTCCTCAAGGATGAGGTTATGATCAAAGAGATCCAGGTGCTTTAGATTTCTCTCAGCAAACCCTGAGAGATGCCCCCGGGCTTATGCAACAAATTCGGTATCTTATCCCTCAGTCAGTGTAGAGGACTTATCAAACCAGTGGCAGACACAAGGAGCAGAGGTTATTTTTTTTTTATTCTGGCTTCAGCCTTTCGCTGCAGGGAGCAATGCCGTGGGGACTCTCCAAAAGCAACAAGTAACAAAATGAGGCCAGTGGTAAGCACCAATTCAAATGCTTCCAAAGGAAATGCTCCTGTGTTCAATCGATCCAACTGTGCTGATGTAACTGATGAGAGTACATATCCACTTGCATGTATAAAATGCCATGATTAGAAACATGTAATGACATGCAGATTTGATGGCATATTTACTTCTTGCCATATGCAAATACATATTTGCCTAGCATGATTTTGCAATTGATATTTTCAGACTTACAGCTAGGGAAACTCTGATTTTTAAATAAGACCTGGATTAAGATTTACACTTGAACTTGCATAGGCAAGTTCTAAGTAGCCCAATTGTAACTTTTCAAATTAACTTAAAATTGACAGCATCTGCCTCACAGTCAGCGATTTCCCCTTATATTATGTTATATAATGCTAGCACAAATGAGGGTTTTGTCAGGGATAGCCATTACATGCTGTTTTTAATTCAAAATGCACACCGATTTCATCCCTTAAAAGAAATGTCTTGATCTGTCTGATGGCGATGATAGTAGTGGTGGCAAAATAGGTTTAAACTTTTACTTGTATGTGATAGCAAGCAGCCTCAATAGTGGGAGTGTTGGAGTCGGAGGGACTCGAAATGTTATCAGCTGGAGCCTCTGGGCGAGTTGGATTCAACAAGGTAACACATTCCCCAGTTGATCTTGTATCATCTTTTCCTGTGCTCCAGGATTATCCTCATGCTGTCAGCAACATCTATACATTTATGCCCTCAACACTCAAAGTAATATAGCCATGGTGTATAGGAGGATTAATATTCACAGGTATTGCTATATAATACTTTATATAGGGTACCAGGGGCCCCATAAGAGCCTTGTAGAGACCACAGTTTACGACATCTCTACTTCCGTATACCCACTGTTAACCACTCCAGCAATATTTTCTCTAAAAAAACCCAGAGCTTCTAACAAATCCTCAGCTCTCGGGGACTTTCCTGTTTACATCTCTATTCCCAGCACAAAAGGATTACAAACACCAGCTTTACTGAGTATAAAGAGATTGTAAAATCCAAGATTTGCAGAGTGGGAGGGGTGGGGAGGTTAGGGGATGTCCTCATTGAGTTTGCATCTACAAGGCGACAAGCGGTCAAAGGTTAAGAGCATCAAGAATGGCTGGGGGGAGGGGGACCCAAGCTAATCAGAGTCGGCCCTGGATAGAGCAAAAGAGTGTGTGCGTATGTGTGTGTTCTCGAGCATATTTTCCTCTATATTAAACTGGATTAGTTGTCTGCCCCGCATCCTTTATCGAGATAATGCTTGAAGCTTGCTGGGATTTCATTGAATAGATCTGTGTGAGCTGTGTGACTCTCTCTAATCTTATTGGGGTGTGTGTGTGTGTGTGTGTGTGTGTGAGAGAGAGAGAGCTCTCAGAAAAACAGCGTGATGGCACAGATCTAAAGGATCCGGATGGTTGTGAGTCTTATTTGGATGTAATTGCTGTTTACTTCGTCACATTATACAGTAGAGGTGCCTTATTAAGTCTTTCTGCCTGTCATTAAAGTTGCACTGCTGCAGCCTTCGGGGGATATGACTCTATCGCAGGGTTTTATCAAGGACATTTTATTCCTAATATGACTTCTCAAAGAGCTGCTTGTTTGTGGCAACCAAGCAAAGGTTCATCTCTTTTGTATTATTGAGATTAACGGATTTCCAGCACATTGTCTTAGCTTTTAAATGGCACTCAATTAAACATCAACAGCAGCAATGTTTCAGAGGTATAGTCTTTGTCGGGTATCCATTGGATCCCTTAAGTATTGGTTTTCATCATACTCATCATATAGGATTGAATGTCTTAAAAGCAACAACAATGTGTGGGAAATTAATTTTTATTGCATTTTATTGCATTATTTAATTATTCTGTTTCAACTTGTGTGTGCAGAACAGGGGATTTAGTTCCAAACATTCAGTGGGTTTGACTTAATCAGGCCACAGATATAGCTAACTAACTTGACTTGCATGCCGCATTTGGTCACATACTGTACTGCACAGTGCCAGACAGTGTAGGCCTCCGTACAGTGTGGAGTTACTCTCCTGGTAAGGAATCTATATGATGCTTAAACAATATTTCTGAGTGATCACTTTAGTCACACCAATATTTACCGCTTAGAAATTGCGGGTTGTGAGAGAAACCTTTGCAAGGCTTTAGCACAGATTGGAATTTTAAAGATGTCTTGGAGGCAGAACTGATGGAACGAGAAGTAACTAACAGTTGAGCTCAATGGTCAGAGGCCAGCTGTGACAGAGAACAAATATAGGAGTATTGTTTAGTTTGTATTTTTGTATCACTGGTTAAAGGTAACTAACTGCATTTATTGAAACACTTACATTGAATTTTTAGTTAACTATATATTCTATTGATTTTATGTTACTTTACACTTAGGTAACTATTGTTACCTTACCTCAGATATACAGATATATTAGTATATATTAAATGAACCAACAATATATAAAGTATTTAAAATATATTCCACCCTAACCTGGTACACCACTGAAATTCATGGTAGTGAGTTAGAAAAAACATTAGGCAAATTTGTTATTTGATATATTATTAGTACTCTCACCCTAGGTGTTTACTTCTTAAGTACAATTTTGAGTGCAGCAGTTTTACAGTTACTGCAGTTGTAATACATTTTAGTAAACAAAATGAATGAAAGCTGTTTTTATTTATTTATACCTTTGATAGTTATATTGTTTGAAGGGGCATAACTGAACAGGTCTCCTACATAGCTATAGGCTTTTATGTCTACTTTAGAATTTACAAGATCAGACACGAAAACATTGAATCTGTGCTCTCTCCATCCACTTTACTCTGGTACTCACAGAAGCTCTGGTTCTGTGGAGATTTAACTCAACCAATGAGATTATTTCTGCCTCCTCTTGTCTCTCAGATATACTTGCAAAATTTTAATTACAATCTGCTGTCTAAGGCGTTGTCAAAATCGGAGAAATCATGGCATTGACAGACGTCACCTTCAGGTCCATAGGAGCAATAGAAAACTGAGCATTTACGTGGCATTTTGATTGTGTTTTCTGCAAGAAAGCATTCAAAAGGGGATCCAAGATGATCACTTACAACCACAATGACAGTAAGGCCACTTGAAATCAGCTCCACCCAAGTGCTGGCTCATTTTATTATTGCCAGGTCTGTCATGCTGCTGCTGCTGCTGCTGCTGCTGCTGCTAGACAAACTACGTTTTAGCTACAAAACAGCTAATTTGGCAGCTTGGGACTTAGATCCTGAATGTAACAGCCACTGCAGGGGGTTGACCAGAAAGTTAGCTTCACATACTGGTGTGCAGTAAATTAGCTCCGACTTTGCCCTGTAGGAGAGGAGACCATGCCAGGAGAGATAACAACCCACACGTCTGTGCAGCAGGCACAGCTGAGAGAGCTGCTGACACTGATTTTATTTTATTTTTTTCCATTACCTTCAGACCCGTCATGTAAGACTATTGGTTTGACGCCTAAAATTGTGAACAAGGCTGATTGTTAGTATAGGAGCAAGCCAGTTAGCCAGTAGTTGATCTTCTGAACATGATCTGATTTCATAAACGAGACGGACCAAAAGAAAGAACATGCAAAAAATGTGTTAAGAGCTGGCTGAAGGGGTTAATAGTTACTTGATCTGCTGGTGGGATGCAACATAGAAAAGGAAAGAAAAGGTAAAAGGAAACAGCAAATCCAAGCAGAGAGTCTATGTTACAGTATTTATATCAAAGAATGGTGGTAGACATGTAAACTTTAGACATCAAGCTGAAAAGGACAAAACACATCCAGCCCAAAAAGAGAGTTTACGAGTAAAGAGCAAAAAGAAAATGTCCATCACTTTCAAAAAAAGGACAAGAAATGTAAGAAAATCAAAGAAGATAAAAATTGGAGGAGAAAGGGTAAGTTTGGGTTCCCTTGTCATGCAAATCAGTTTGGCATCGGGGGGGGGAAAAAATACCTTCGTCGTCCGTGCGGTCACTATCACCTAAATCATCAGTGTGTTTCTTTGTAAGGGGACCTATAGGACCAAGAAGGAGGAAAACAGGGTGATCAAGAACACACACAGCTTTCAAAAGATGCTCTCAAAAGATAAGAATCAATAATTAATGTTTCTATAGCCCCTTTTTTATTTTGGAAAAATCGCCACACTGACACTGGGTAAACATTACCACAGCGTCCACTTCACATGTTCACAGTAGAAATTTACTGTATATGAGTTCATTTAAGAAAGTTAAGGAGCAAGAAAAGAGGGACTTTAAAAAAAGAGGCAAAAAAATATTAGTTCTCTGTTGAAAATTGAAGACTTAGCTGAGGTTGAACCTCTTAGGATCAAAGGGCATAAACCTCTTAGAAACAGTGCATACAGTAGCATCAATTATACACATCAGAGACATTATGTTAACATTTGGAAATGATCAGTGTAGCAGAGAAAAAGGCAGAGGCTGTAAAAGAAGCAACATCTTTTTTAAGAGCAGAGCACTTAACAGAAGCATGTGACAAACTCCCCCTGTTGTTTTTCAGCATGTTAACCATGTGTGGGCCTAAACACACAAATGTGTACATACTGCAGAACAGGAAAATGTATCTTAATGTGTCTCCAGTTTCAATTTTCAGAAGGTTATTGTGTTTATTTTTACTTCTTTTTTCACTTTGCAAATGTTAATGACTTCATGGTTAGAGTTTTGTCCACATGAAGATATACAAGAAGTTTAGTTTTAAAAACAATACATATAGTAAAAAAATATGGACCTCATTTCGATTTTTTTTTTATTTTGAGAAAATATGCTTATTGGCTTTCTTGACCAGAGTTAAACAAGAAGATCGATACCACCCTTGTGTGTGTGTACAGCAAATAAGCTAAGGTACAGGTTTAACTTAGCTTAACACTAGTCAATGACAGGACAACCTGAGCCCAATATACAACTTGTTAAACAGCGAGTTTTTGAGGTGCTGGTAGGTGGATTTTGTTAGCTTTGGACGCAGCCAAGCTAGCGTTTCCCTCCTTTCACCTATCTTTATGCTAAGCTAAGTAAAGTGTCTGCTGGATGTAGCTATATAGTTAGAATACAGAGCTTTGGAGGTGCTGGTTGGTGGATACCTTACCTTTGGATGAAGGCAATCTACCTTTTTCTTCCTGTTGCAAATTGTTATGCTAAGCTAGGCTAAATGGCTGCTGGATGTAAACATGTGAGTGGCATTGATCTTCTCATCGAACTCTTCGCAAGATAGCACGAGTTTAGTTCCTAAAATGTCGTACTATAACCTCGTGCACTATGGTTTTCTTGCTGAAGCTAAAATAATTGCATGTGAGAGAGGTTGATTTGGTGGAATAGACTGACAGGGGAAGTGGTCAGCTGCTTCTTTATTAAAACTAACAAACTGTCATTTGAATGAGTTTCTTCTACAAACCCATGCTATCTTGAAAGTAACAAAGACAATGCACATACAGTACACACACCAACAGAGAACACACGCGTACACACACACACAGGTGCTACACAACAGATCTGTAAACATGCAGTCTTGAAGTAAATGATGCATGCTAGCAGGCATGACACAGAAAAATAGAACAATATATTTGCAGTGTTTAAGCCTTCACACACACACATACGCACACACACACACACCACACACACACACACACACACAAAGCAAGGAAATCCACAACCTGTGGCTTTCAATAGCCATCTACCACTCCAATTCTTTCTAACTACCTTCTCTAGCCAGTGAATAACCAGCACTTTTATCCAAATGTACTTTGATTCCATTTTACTTTATAAAACTAATATAGCAGTCAATTCAACACGACAAAAGTTAAAGGGACATTCTGTGAAAAAGGTTAGTGTTAAAAAATGGCTCTGAAAAATCTAATAAAAACTCCAATGACTACGTGTGTTTTAAAATATCTGTTTACGGAACAGAGAATGGGAGATGAATCACTGGAAAGGTTCAAGATACTTCAGGTCAGTAGCTCATGTTGATGAGTAATCATTCCTCCATCATTCACCATCCCGATGGTTTATTTCAAGACCAACCCATTTCTCTTTGGAGACTTTAAAGAGGAAGCCGGCTGCCTGCATATCACTCTGTCCTACAGCGGTCTTCCCGGCTCGCTTTTGTGAATTTGACAAGCAATTTGATAAGCAAGAGCTGACTTGTGCTTTCTATGTGCTGAATAAGCACCAAGACACAAGAATTGCTTCTTTCAAAATGTGAAACGTCTAAGGAACACGGAGTGTCCGCTGTCCAGGGATCTGTTACCTGTTTATAGAGTATA